CTTCTATTTGACTCCCCATTTGGAACACATCACACTGTAGAAGTGGAGGGGGACAAGTCAATCTATAACAGTTCCAACAAGTGGTTTTTGAATTTTCCAGAAAAGTGTGTCTCTTTCTAAATGTCGTCTGATTCGACCAACTGCTGGGATCAGGCAACAGGAGGCACCCAGGTCACCATAATGGCTTCTCTTTAACATGCAGCAATCATCCCTTCATTCATTTTGTCCCACTCCCACCTCTACCCCACCCTAGCTGGAATGGTGAGTCACAGGGGAGCAGAGGCTTCTTTTTGTTTCATCTTTGTACTCAGCACTGGCAAAGAGGAGACATCACAAGCCCTCATGAAAAAAAAGCCCCCAAAGTTCCCTCTTAAATACCTTCATGATACTTTTCTCATTTCCCTGGGAGGACAGATATCTTTTCTCTCACCTGAATTTTTCCTGTAAAAATGTGACCTGTCCTTTAAGACCCACTTCAAAGGCCAATTAAGCCCTGGTAGACAATCACACTAACAACCCTCCTGTCCTAGAACTTCCTGTAGCAATCAGAGCCTTGGCTCCAACACAGCTCCCACCCAGCCTTGGTACTGTCTTTTCTGGGAAAGATTAACAAGTGTGCAAAAGCCATGAACACAGTTCTTCTACTAACTAAGGTGCCGTTTTTATGATAATTTCCTGACTACTCCAGCTCCCTTTTCAGTCAGAAGGAACTCAGTGAAACTCCACCTTCCAAAGTTCTGAGTTTTCCCCTCGCCAAACTTATTTTGGTTAAACTCTTGATGATTATTTGCCACTCTTTGGATATCCATGCAAGCAGTTAGGTATTGTCCTTTATTCTGATGTGAATTTTGTAACTCTGGCAGGAATAGAATAGCACATGGCTTCAGGACACTTTTGAAGCTAGAAATAGCTGTCACACATCTCCTTATCCTTCCATCCTCCTTTGTTCCCAGCTGACTCTCATAGCCTGTTTATCACCAAGTGAAGATAGCTTTGGCTTCTTTTTTACAGTGTGGGAAATCCACTTATGATGGACTCTTTAAACATGTATTTATTAAGTCTTCAATTGAGTTTGTGTAAAAGTAAGAAACATATTGTGTGTTTACATGTTAGGTATATGATCAGTTGACCTTTGTGATAGAGATGCTAGCCCAACCCCTGCCTGGGCTTCACTGGCTCTATTCATTTTGCCATCTCCTAAAGACAGGCTGGATACTTAAGTCCATATGCATGTGTAGAAGGCTTTCTGATATCTGGGACTCAGCAACCCATGTGGTCCCAAAGAGCAGAAGCTAGCCTGTCTTCTTTCTCCCTGCTAGCACCCATGCTCAGCTACACATCCCAGAACAGCAATCAGCTTTGGGCCTCTATTTTCATCCTAACTCATAGTCAATCCATACCACTTCCTCAAGTGGACTGAATCTGAGGTAGAGAAAATGGTCACAAACCCTGAACTCCAGAGCAAAATGCAGGCTATGTGTGGCATACTCATTATGATACTGATACTAAATTCATGACTTAGAACCACAGCTTTCCCACTTACTAACCAAATGACTTTAAGCAAGCTGCTTTACTGTTTTCTGTCCCCAATTCTTCATCTAAGAGTTATAACAATGATGTTGATGATATTCATGGTGATGGTGTTGAAGATGGGGGTACTCATCTCCTGGAATGTGTGGGTGGCTCTGTGAACATAGAATACTCAGTACTTATTGTGGGACATGGATATTTAGGTGTTTGCTATTTTGGAATTAACCATTGAGACTGAGTTCTGGTTGAGAATAAGTGAGTTTACTTTTATGACAACTGAAAGTTGACTTTCTGAGGGATTAACTATAAGTATAACTTTGCTTGTGGTTTACCCAAAAGTGGTTAAGGGAAGTAAAAGCATCACTCATACCCATGTTTACATCCCAGATCTCCCACCACATCCCTAAAGCAGACTCCTCAATGTCTGAGCCACAGTCTTTTCATGTGTTTAATGGGGGTCAATAACTCCTACATTCCAGATCATCCTATCTTTAAACAAGCTAATTATGAAGTGGGTCCCATTCATGGTTTATTGTCTTCCTCCTCAGACTTCTGGCTAGCCACCAGGCGCATGATGTCAAAAGTATCATCAGACTTGCCAGTGTCTATTTTACATCTAGTTTTCTCTGCAGACTTTAGAGTAGTGATTATATGCTCTGTTTGAACACATTACCCAAAAAGCATCCATTAAGAGTTTAATCCCTGTGGATGAGTCATGGCCATTGCTTAACTTTCCCCATGAAAGCCTGAGAGAATCTTTTCTCTCCATGTGACTCTCCTTAGGCACACTATACATCATCGATCACTGACAAAGGTTCTACAATCTGAGGTACAGGATCTCAGGATAAATCCTGAGGGGATTTGACTGACCTTATCAGATCCAAAAGCTAAAACTCTTGTTGCATAGGTCTTGCTTTATCTTGGTCTTAACCATCCAGCAGAAAAGTATAAAAACGAAGTACAAGAAGTAAAGCCATGTTGTTATGTTGAGCTGTAGGGGACTTAGGGCAACAATTTCTAACACTGCCAGTCAAGTGCAAGACCCAATATTATGGATTACTGGACTCTTTTAGAATATTTTTGCTGAGTTCACACACCTATAATATTCAAATGATGGAACTAAACAAAAAAAAAAGGAATATATAAATGAATGTCCATTTTGTATCTGTGTATTCAAAATGGTTAGGATAGATATATAGTTACATTCTCTTAATGAATAGAGGGATTTGTTGTAATAGTGTTTGTAAATAGGATATCATGTCTGCATCTTGTACAGCAAATAACCACTAGGAAGACAGTATTCAATGTGTTAATTATTGAAACTGTCCTACCAATTTGATTTGAAACTGTCTCATTGCTATTTGTTTCTCAATAAAATTATAGAAAAAATGAAAATAAAATAAATAAACTCTAAAAAAAAAAGAGTTTAATCCCCAGTGCAACAGTGTTAAGAGGTGGGGCCTAATGACAAGTGTTTAGGTCATGAGTTCTCCACCCACAGGAGTGGATGAAGGCCCATTATAACAGTGCTTGAAGCTATCAGTTGGGTCTCTTGAGCTCTCTCACCTTCTCTTTGCCCTTCTGCCTTGGGATGATGGTTGAAGAAGGCCCTCGCAGGATGCTGGCTCCTGAATGATGCTGACTCCCATCCTCCAGAACTGTGAGAAACACATTTCTTTTCTTTATAAGGATCCCAGACTATATTCTGTTACAACACAAAATAGACTAGTACTGTATGCCACATGCCCAGCTCAGCCTGGCCATCCAAAGCTTATTAGCAGAAGCTTAGAGAATGAAGGACAGTGGACTGCAAGCCAGGTAGCCAGGTACATCTCTTCACCCATGGCTAGGATCTCAGCATCATTTCAGGCCCCAGTAACCTGAAGGTGAAGATCCTCCGTGTCACCCTGCCTCACAGGCCACACTGTCCCCTGGGCTCACCCACCCATCAAGTCCCCTAAACCCAGCATGTTCCTGGTCTTCTCATTGAGCAGAAGATAAAGAAAATTGCAAGTGAAGGTCAAGACTTTCAGACACATCTATCTTTATTTGTTTTCTGTCAGAAAATTTCAAGAATTACACCAAAAAATACTTCAGCCTCTGCTACCTACTGACAAAAATACACCACAAAATTATAAAGCGTTCAGCGGTTTTGCTAGGGACAACTTGTTATTCCGCTTCAGATGACAAGTGAATTTACAGGTGACTCAAGGTGATGGGAGGATGGGGGAGGAGAAAGGAAAAATCAGATGAGAGCGTTTGGCAGGATAGTTTGCGCTATACTAGTCTTATTTTCCAGCTGTTGTATACAATGATTTTGGCAACATAGCAAGCCACAAAAAATCCCTTTTAAATGACCTATTGGAGACTCATGGGGAAACAGTAACACATCTCAAATCACCAATTCTTCTAGCCAGTTCCAGCTTTGTTGGGCCTGGAGCCAACATCTGCACAGAATGGGCCTCCCTGAAACACTGAGAAAGGTATGGGCTGCCCTATATCCGTGAAGCAGAAGGCCTGGTCAATGCTGGATGTTGCTCTTTGTCAGAAGCTTCTAGAATTTGACTGGGGAATTTGGACCAATATCCCTTTCAAAACATTGCACTGAACAAGTCACCTTTTTAGTTTCTTCCAGAAATGAGTTAGGATTATTTCAGCCCCAATCTTAAAGTCTCTTCCTGGCTATCACTTGAAGTACCTTGTTATAATCCAATTGTTGCTACTGCTGTTGGCATTTTGGAAAACCACAAGCAGATAAAAATTTTACAAACTGTGTTCCTGTGCTTCTAGTTTGACCAAGGGTCATATCCCTGCCTTGTGCCTTCTTTTTACTTGTGACCTCACCTCCTTTTACTCCCACCTTACACTTGCTGTCTCATAAACAAGGGCAATATCCAGGCATAGATCTAGAAAAACAACAAAGAAAATCTGCCCACATCAGTGTTCTTTTAGACAAAACACACTGCCAGAGGGTAAGCATTCAAAGCTGAGGTCATAGGGGTTGGCCAAGGCCATGTAGGTCTGCCTATCCCCTAGCATGAACATCCAGCTGAAGTTTGTGCTCATCCTGCTAAATGTACCAGTGCTCAGTACATTTTACTCTGGGCTGTGTACATCCTGGGCTTTGAAATGCCAAATCATTTCTCTCCAATTCAGCCATTCCTAACCTCCAGTGTTCCTATCCTAGAGGCTCAGTCCATGTGACTCACATATTCCAAAGCCCACAGTGGAGCTATGATTTCTTGTTTAAAAAGCCCAGAGTCTGTGCTCTTTATTGATCTCCAACATCTCCCAGGTGGAGCCTGTTTCATGCTTTCTATTTATTTCTTTGTGTCTCTCCTTTGCTGCTTTTAAGTTTTCCTAATGAAGAATAAGCAGTGGCTTTGAAAATATCTTACATGGGAACAATCAACACGAAACATGCCTTTGTACATGAGCCTGACTTAGGGACGAATCAACAATACCAAAGGACAAAAAGAAATATCGATTCAGACAACTCCAGTGCACAATATTTTCGGAGAGTGCCACCCCCACCCTCCCCTGCCCCACCCCCACCCCCATATCCCAGGAGTACAGTGTCTTGTAACTCAAGCTTGGCTTAGCCAATGGGGGAGACCCCTTCCCTATCACCACCACCCCCATTTGGGCAGGGGTAGGCCTCTAATGGCCCTGGGTCTTGGGCGGCTTGGGCTCATGGATGACAGCAGCTGCCGACAGCCATGGCCCGATGGCCCGGGCAGTGCTCTGCTTGGCCACACTGTAGTGGCTGATGACTGTGTAGAAGCGGCTTCTGGAGTTGGGGTCCTGGGATGAGTAGTAAGCATCCAGGGAGGCTGGGATGCAGCGCTTGTGCTAGGGAAGAAATAGACAGTGTCAGGAGTAGTTTTGTGGGCAGCTTCTACCTTGAGACATATTATCCTATCAATGAGCCCAGGTTCAATCAGGCTTTCAGACATAAGGCAAGTAGTAGCACCTCATCTGGGCCTGGCACCCAGCAGACAGTCCAACATCATCATCACCATCATCATCACCAGAGATACCACTGCGAAGAAGCCTGAAGAAATGAACTTGATGTTGGCAGTGATTCAAGGCCAACTTCATCTGCTTCTTGAGCAGTGCACTTCAATAGACATTGTTGGTGCTGTTTCCAGAATCCTTCTCTAGTTCCCAATTACATCTCTGAGCCATTGCCACAGACCACAGCTCTTTACGTCCTTGGTTTTGTGTTTCACTTTTTTACATCAAATATCATGATTTCTAATAACTTGAATATAATTATGCATTTGCATTGTCCTACAACTTGTGTCCTACACACAACTATTACTACTCAGAGTTAACTACTAAGGGAATTTTGATATTTATGTATAGCAATCTGTGTTTTTAAGATACAGATAGTCCAGGATTTGGCTTGCGAGCTTTTCACTTTATGATAACTTAAAACCATACCTATACAGCCATTCTGTTTTTCACTTTCAGTATGCTAGTCAATAAACTCCATAACAAATCCACACTTTACTATAAAGTAAGCTTTATGTTTTATGATTTCACCCAAATGTAGAGTAATATAAGTATTCTAAGCACATTTAAGATAGGCTGGGATAAGTTACATTTTAGGTGGGCTGGATACAGTAAGTACATTTTAACATGCTATTTTTCAATTTATGATGGATTTATCTGTCTATATTCCCATTGTAAGTTGAGGACCATCAGTATTTAAATTGGAAATGAAATTACAATTTTTCACTTGCACCATGACTAAGTTATGCTATGATTTTTGGTGGGCTAGATATATTAAACGTGTTTTCAACTTCTGATATTTCAACTTACGGTGGACTTATCATGTCATAACTCCATTATAATTTAAGACCATCATACTTTTCCATGAGAATGTAAAGCCTATATTCTGTATCCTGCAGTTATTTGAAATTTATTTATTTTATTTCTAAATGTGTGTCCTCAACTTGTTGTAGACCTAGGTTTTTTGTTTAATTTATATGGTTTATTTTTTGTATTTATTTTTAAGTGTACACCATTTACATGCCTCTAGAACAAATGTATAACAAGGTATATCCTGAGCATCCTTGCTTCCATATATGTCCTTTCTCTCCTGTTTCCTCCTTTCTTTCTAATCAATTTCACTGATTTTTAAATGTAGAAATTTCTTTTAGAAAAAAATAAGCAAATATTTTTCACCTCTACTTTTATTCATACAAAAGTAGACCTCTCATCATTCATATAATCTCAGAGGATATTCTATATTTGTGTCCTGAGGCATTCTTCACTTACATTCACAGATCTATAGAATGCCATTTTGGGGATACGGTACATGTTGTTCAACTGTCTCCAATGCTAGTTGTTCCCAGTCTTTCAGAACTTGGACTTTTAGTCATTAAGAGTATAGTTTTAAGGAAATCATGTAATAGAGCCAAAGGACTTGTGCACCTCTCTCTCTTTCTTTCTTTCTTTCTTTCTTTCTTTCTTTCTTTCTTTCTTTTTGTGGTACTGGGGATTGAACGCAGGACCCTGAGCTTACCAGGCAAGCACTTATTCTACTGAGCTATCTCCCCAGCCCAGGACTTGTGCTTCTAAGTAAAAAAAAAAAAAAATCACCCATTTGATCATGGAGAATAGCTCTGATAGACATTCACATGGCTGTGATATCTTGGAAAACATTAACTGAATGTTTTCAACTTGTATTTCCTCAAATGTAAAAGAGGGGACAGTAAAACCTATTTTTCAGAATATTTTTGTGGCCTGAGACAATGCTTATAAAAGTACCTAGCAAAGGGCCTGACATACTTAGTAAATGGTAATTATAAAATTTAATGTATTTATTGGCAGTGAGGGGATACAGGGATAGAGGGAGACAGGGGAAAGGGAAACTAAAAGGATAAAAGAAAAGCAATAATTAGCATACTATATATCACTGTCTTCAAAGTACTCAGTATAAGATATAAACCAAAAAGATTTTTACCATAAAATCTTTACCAAAAAAAAGAAAAAATAACATGAACTATCTTTTCAATGAAATAAAATTATTTAAATAGTGTGTGAGGAAGTTGCCATGTCCAAACTTTGGACCCAAATGAAGACATGACAGTCCCTTCAAATGCAGTACACAGTGATATGGGACTACTGTAAGAGTCTCCTTACCTTATAGACAAATCCCTCAGGGCAGCTGTGGTCATAGGTGAAGGCTTTGTAAACCACCAGGAATACAATGCAGGCAAGGAAAGCGAGGGCCAGACTAACAAGGATGGTGACCTGGAGGAAGATAAAATTGAGTCACCCAAACTCCTTTATCCTTTTGAACAGTTTCTTCACAACACATAGTGCATATTTCAGAACTTATTTTCTCTTTCAATTTCTTACACTAGGCAGACAACACAGTGCTTACACATGTGAGTCTGGTTTATTTCACTTATTAGTCCGGACTCAAGTTGCATCCATATACCTATAAAAGTCTCAAATCTATCGTTCTTTATGGCTGTGTAGTATTCCATTGTATAAAATCACATCTTTTTATCAGTTCCTTGACTGATGGATATATATATATATATATATATATATATATATATATGTTGTTTTCAAGATTTGGTTATTACAAATTTTGTGCTGCTATAAACATGGGTGCACATAGACCACTGTGGTATGATGTTTGTGATTCTTCTGAGAAGATACCCAAAAGTGAAAGATCTGGGTCAAATGAGACATCTAATCCTAGTTTTCTGAAAATTTTCCATGCTGATTTTCACAGGGATTGCACTACTCTACACTCCAACCAGCAGTGGAGAAGAGTTCCGTTACCCCTCCAGTCCCTCCAGCATTTGTTATTGGTTGATTTCTTGATGACAACCATTCTTTCTGGCATGAGAAGGAACTTCAGTGTTGTTTTAATTTGCATTTCTCAAATGACCAATGATGTTGAACATTTTTTCATATATTTAACTGACATTTGTATTTCTTTATCTGAAAAAGGTTTATTTATGTCAGATGCCCATTTTTAGATTGCATCTTTGAATTTCAGTGGTCTGATACATTTTAACTCTTCATATGTTCTAGGGTAAAGGAAAAAGTACAAGTCAATGATATATTTATTGTCAGTTTATTAAAAGGAATGTTTGTGGTAATATTGATTGGAGAAATTTTATACTCATGTCTTGTACCCTGAAAAAATATTTTAAAGATGCAAAGTATTAACTATTGTTATTCTCCTATTATTTTGTTATAAAATTATACCTTTTTCTGTAAAATAATAAATAAAATTTGAAAGTCATCCAGCTCAGCACATCCACCTTTAGACATATACAGCCTTCAAAACCTACAGCTTGTAGACAGTGTACACATGGTATATTGGAAAAAGGGCTAGGGACCCAGTGATAGGTTCCATATTGACTATCACTTATTCTCAGTGTGACCCGCAAACCATCTGCTGCCTTCAGGCCTTAGCTTCCCTATTCCAAGATAATCTATAAAGTTTTTTGTTGACCCAACTCCCTGATTTTCACCCTTGTATTATCTTTCCTATTAGCAGTGTGGGGGGAATTATTAAACTATCGCCCCTTTTTCCTTCTGTCTTTGATCACCACCACCTGATCAACACCATTGAATTCCAACCTCAGAGATCAGCTGCTGTTTTCTCTTCCCTTTGAACATCGAATATAAACTTGAACACATTCCTCAAGCCATCGCTCTCCTTATACTCCAAACTTGCTCCACCTGCATTCTCCTGCATGACAGGAAACATGCACTCCATCTTTGGGGTCTTTATGCCAAAAAGCTTGAAATCATTCTTGACTCTCCCTCTTTCTCACACAGTATATCTAGTCCATCTGAAGAAACTATAATCTTTGCCTTCATATACATCCACAATCTGGCCACTTCTTACAACTCAGTCATTCCCAAGTTGGCCCAACCTGTCATCCTCCTTCAGATGCAATATTAAAACAGTCTTTGACTAGAAGGCTCTTCACACTCTGGTCTATTTGACACTCAGCAACCAGAGACATCTATGGAAATCTAAGTGAAGGTTCAAAAATATGTAGCAGTCTCCAACTTGTTCAGAGTAAAAATTCAGCTCCTGATTATTATTTATCTTTAAAAATAAGCAAGTTTTTAAAATAGATCACTAAAGTGAAGGCTCTATCAGGATTTATCAGAAAGTAATAGATATCTAGAACACCTGGAAGCTACTCAAATTATGACTTTGTGGAATTTTAATTACAGTATTTCCTAGTTGCACTGAGTGTGCACACATGAAGCAGGTCCTTTTTACCCAGAAAACAGGTGGCTTTGCTTTAGCTGCATTAACATAAAGTTAATAACTTGTTTATTATATATTCCTTTTAGAAAAAGAAGCACTATCACTCCCTTTTCCTTCTGCCTTCAATCACCACTACCTCATGTTTCTATTGGCCCCATCCCAACTGTACACAAAAGACAAAGGTGATCCCCATGATATTTGGGGCATTAAAGCAAAATTCCTGTTATTTTTAAAAGCTGATAATCTTTGTGTCAGTTAGCCTAAAACTATGACACAATCCTTTTTACAGAGGGAAGGTTCCTTTTGACTTAGAATAAAAATCAAATCAAATTTGAGGGACCACAGCATATCTCCTTCCTAACTCAAGGCATACCTATAAAGATAGGAAAAGATAGGATTCTGTAAGATTCCAGATTGCAATTACTTGATGGAAGCTTTAAATATTTGATGGGAGGGATTTGAAAAGGAAAGGAGGAAGATGGGAAATGGAGGGAGCCCATTTGCAACCTCTGGGCAAACAGAGTCCACAAGAAATTCCCACACATGTACATATGAAGACTTAGGATAGTTTTAAGCTATTGTTGATACAATGTGCTGCCCAGATCCCCTCTCTGCTGTTACCCCAAGCGCTTGGTTGAAACCTGTTGCACACACATCAGCCTCCTGCCAAGGATAGGGGTGATAACAGTGTAGGATGAGAGGATGATCAAACAAGAGTCACCCAGGCAGCTAAGATGTGGAGCTAAGATGGCTAAATTCATAGAAACTGAATCTGGACCAAGAGATATCTATCCCCAAGATACTTCACCCCTCTAGAGCCCCCAAGGGTTAAATTGGTGTGGTACAGCACAAGATTATAGTGGGACTACTACCCACTAATACTGAGGACACAGCACATACAGCAACAAATATTAGAATATAGATGTAAGGAAACTAAAAATACCAACATTTTCCAGTAATAAAAATACAGAAACATGCCAAATGTCTATCAACTGACGAATGGACAACCAAACTGTAATATAGCCAGCCCTCCATAATCTATGAATTATACATCCACTGACTCAGTCAAACACCTCATGGATTCAATTAACTGAGGATCAAAAATATTAGAAAAAATACATTTCTCCTTCATTGAACATGAGCAGACTTTTTTCATTACTCTCTAACAATAGAGTAACACTTTATAACATTTACATTATATTATAGATTATAAATAATAGACTATTTAAAGTATGTGGGAGTATTTATAGATCATATGCAAATATTATCCCATTTTATATAAAGTACTCAAATGTTTGAGATCCCCCAGAGATTTTGAAGTGTGACTCTGTATTTGTACAATGGAATATTATTCAGTCATAAAAGGTAATGAAGTACATACTACAAATGTCGATAGACTTCAAAACCATTATACTAACTAAAAACAGCTAGATATAAAAGAACACATACTATGTACTTTCATTTGTGTTAAGTATCTTGAATAGTCAAATCTAAGGTACTTGACAGGGACTGAGGGTAGTGTAGAATGTGGAATGACAGCTAATAGGTACCAGGTTCTTTTGTAGTGGTGAAATTATTTTGGAACAAGATTCAAGTGATTGCCCAACATTGAGAATGTACTAAATGCTATTGAATTGTTCACTTTAAAGTGATTAATTTTACATTATGTGACTTTTAACTTAATTTTTAAAATAAATGCCCAGAGCCCAGGCAGCAGCCTGGTACCCATAGTTCCACCCCAGGGTGAGAAGACTTGTTCCTAAGTGGTGACTCTGGCAAAGGGACATTAAAATGCACAAGCATTTCTTTACCTCACAGAGAATACTATTTTGGCCCAACCAAAAGAGTCACCCTCAATGCCAGGACACAGATACAGTCACAGGAACACTCATGGCAACAATTCAGCTGCAGACCTCATGTGTGCTAAGGAAGAAGAGATATACAGCCCCACTGTGCTGTCACCAGTAGGCTGATGCAAAATGTAAGGGAGCTCCCAGAAAGTCTCCCATTCTCCCAAGTATTCATTAATTCTAATCACTGAGTGGAGCCCCAGACTTCTTGGCAAACTCAGAGGTAGGGCAGGATGTGTAAACACAGGTATAAGTGCATGCATTCAGTGTAAATACTCCCTGGCCATCAGCAGGTTAGTGAAGAGGACTCAGCAGTCCCATTTCTGTGACAGATTCCCTCATGAAGGTGGGCCCTACTATTCCAAACAGTTCATGAATTAACAACCTCCATCTAGGAGGACCAGGGTCTGATTCACCAGTGTCACCAGAACTTGATGGTGTGAGCAGAGAGAAAGCCTTTAGCAAATGCTACTGGAAAAGGTGGAAAGAGACAAAGGGAGGGAAAGGTGGAAGATGTTCCTTTGCAAGCACAATGGTTTCAATTCCTACCTCACATTAAAAACATATAAGGGACCTCTAATGTTCAGATCTAGATGGCTATTACCCCACAAATTCTAATTTAATAGGCCAGGGATGGGTGGTCCCAGAACATAGGCATTATTGTAAACTGCCCAACTGATTCTAACATGAAACAGGGAAGAGATCCACTCCCCCAGTGTGAGTGGTTTTCAAGCTGGCTACACATTGTAGGACCAGGAGGGCAGTATTTAAAATAATCCTGATGCTTTAATCCCACCATGGAAAATAACTTCAGAATCTCTAGGGGTGGATTTATGGCTTTGAGATGTTTGGAAACCCCAAGGTCATTCCCTCCTTGAAAGGGTGGAAAGATCATTGTAAGTAGACCCCCATGACAGTCACCATGAAGGATCTAATGCTGAGTGGACATATGCTGCATGATCTGGGGCTGCAAACCCAATCCATGCACAGGATTCTGTCCAAGCAAGACTAACTTATGCCAGGCTGAGTCACATATTCCATACCCTTGGAATTAGCATGAATGGAGGTTGTTTTTTATTTTTTATTTTTTTTCAAAGTTTTATTGATAAACAGATAGCAATGAGACAGTTTCAAATCAAATCGGAAGTACA